GAAGGCGATCATGCCCGTTTTTTGACTGTTTGACCCTAAGTATGACCCGAGGACGAATTTGGGTACTAAATCGGATGCCTAGAATTAAACAAGTATAATTTGTGCACAACTCTGGTGCAGATAAAGCGCATTTTTTTAACCGAAATAGCTTTTATTTTGACATCACCAATGGATACATTTCTTTCAGACGTCTCAATCGCCCTTTGTAAGTACCCTCTTCCGACAATCCATTCTTGAGGTATAAGGGAATATACCCGATCACGATAAGAGGTCGAGGAGGAGTGCTATGGTTGGTAGAAATTAATTCCTTTCGGTGAGACCTTTCATTAGAGTAAACCAATCAGGATCCAAAACTAGTTTTCAAACTCCCCCCTCCCCCCTCCTGCGCCGTACTTGATAAGAGGATAGTTGGTAGAAAATGGTTCCTTCTTCGTTGAAGACCTTTAATTAGAATACAATGAGAGATAAATTAATTTCATTGCTCTCGATTTTTAAAATTGCCTTTGGGTCAGGAAACAATGTTTGAAGAATTTTGCAGTTTAAGGGGAAAGGAGAATGAGATTTCATAAAGTTTAACTTTGGGATTATTGAGTAATTTTTTATAGAACTTACAGGCATCAGGAGAACACAAATGACAAGTTGGATTAATTTACGCCTTCTTTGCATTTCTACAACTCGCTGATAGTAGAACGAGCAGAAATTCAGCATAAAATACGCTTCCTTGCATTTCTGCTCTCCTGCGACCAATAGCTGTTTTTAAAATCAATCTCAAGGCTTGGAAGTAATTTGTTAAAACATTGTTGCATCAGGGGAACATAAATCGCGAATGGAAATTTACATCTCCTTGCATTTCTGCGCGGTTGATACCAATATACCGTATGTTTCAAAAATCAATTTTTAGAGCCTGAGAGTAGGTAATTTTTCTAGAGTTCAGAAGAACATAAATCACAATTAGATATTTCGCTTAATCTTGCATTTCTGCACTCCTGATACCATACCTTCGGGGAAAATAAAACACGATTAAAGGTTTGACTTTATTTGTCCCTGTTTTGTTCTCCTGTTATTAATACTTGTTTTTAAACCTATCAATGAAATGTTTGATCCATTTTATAGTTTCGTGTATTTTAACGCTCTCGATTTTTAAAATTGCCTTTCGGGCCACGGAAATAATGTTTGAAGAATGTGCAGTTTAAAGAGAACAGGAGAATAGTTGTTCATAAAGTTTCGGGTTATGTGAGTAATTTTTTCAGAACTTACAGCATCAGGAGAACAAATGACAAGTTGGATTAATTTATGCCTTCTTGCATTTCTACACTCCTGATAGTAGACGAGCAGAAATTCAGCTTAAAATACGCTTCCTTGCATTTCTGCTCTCCTGCGACCAATAACTGTTTTTAAAATCAATCTCAAGAGCTTGAAAGTAATTTGTCAAAACATTGTTGAATCAGGGGAACATAAATTACAGACTTAATTCACGCTCGCGTACTATTCTGGAGTATCCGAGGAACATAAATCGCGAATGGAAATTTACATCTCCTTCCAGTTCTGCGCGCTTTATACCATTATACCGTATGTTTCAAAAATCAATTTTTAGAGCCTGAGAGTTTAGAAAAACATAAATCACAATTAGATATTTCGCTTCGCATTTCTGTACTCCTGATACCAATAGTTGTTCATAGAGTAATTTTTCAAGAACTTGCAGTATACGGAGAACACAACTCACGAGTAGAATTTTCACTGAATTTACTTCTCCTTGCACTTCTGACACTAAAAGTCAATCTTCACAGCTTGACAGTAACTTTCCAAGAAAATGCAGCATCAGGAGAACATACATTTCATTCACGCTCTGGCATTTCTGCAATCCTGAAACTAATATTTATATTAATTCCTGTTAATAAAGGGAATCGGAAAATAAATCCTCCTATAAATGTGCAACTGTTCACGAAGTCAACTTTAGGATTACGCGAATAATTTTTTGGGAACTTCCAGTATCCGGAAAACATAAATCTCGGGTAAAAATTTTGTTTAATTTCTGTGATTTTGATAACGGAAAGGTTTTTAAAATTCTCACGGTAATTGTTCAAGAACTTGCCGCATCAGGAGAACATACGATATTCTGTTTAATTTATGATAACCCTTTTGCATTTTTGCACTCCTGTACTCTGCACTAATAGATGTTGATAAAGTCAATTATTAATTCTAGAACTCGCAGTACACGGAAAACATAAACCACAAGCATTTCTGCACTCCTATTACTAATAGTTGTTCAAAATGTAACTTTTAGCATTATGCGAGGAATTTGCCGAAATCTTGTAATAATAATAATAATATTTATTGCAATACAAATGCATTACAAAAGGACAGCAAGTCACGAATGGAAATTTAGGTTAATATACTGCGCTCCTGATACTAATAAAAAAATACTCAAAATTAATCTTGGGTTCTTAAGGATAATTCTACAAGAAATTTTAGCACAAGTAGATATCTGGCTTAATCTACAGTACACCCCGAAAATATAAAAATTAATTTATTTTAGTCATTCTCATGTACAGGAGGGTCTAAATTGCACACTTTCTTATGGAAACACCCTTTATTTTAAGAGTACTCCTTAACTTTCTTAGTAGTAAATATAATTGATTTTGGTAAAATCTTTCTTAGAGCACTTTATGCGATACACAGTTTTTATACAGGGTGTTTGGTTTTTCTTATACGACCCTAAACTATATTTTTTCATACGGACCACCCTATATATTTTGAAGTTTTTGAAAAGAGCGTAAAGTTGCCTGATATATCATTATATTATTTTTGCAATAAAATTCATTGTAAACATCTAGGTTGCCACGGCGAACAAAAGATGGCAGGCAAAAGACGGCGCATCATCTAACAAAAATAGCGACAATTTTGTTGTTTTTTTTTCTTGCTCTCTCTATTTATATTTTGACTTCCTCTCGAAACAAAACCGCATTGTCTATAACGAAAGACCGGAAGAGTGGAAAGTCCTCATTCACACGTATATTCATGGCAAACTTGTGCTAAATATTATTTATTTATACAAAAACCTCTTAGTAGCGTGCATTACCGATTGTTTGCAAAAGATAGGTCTGTTTGATCCTTTCCCTCCACCGTCGGGATCGTTTACAATCGGTCCCTTGTTTCGTTAATCAAACAAGGGATCTCTCTGTGTCAGCGGTCTCTCTCGATTTACAGGTATATACCAATTAATATTGTTATCATTGCGAAAGAGGTCAACGGTAATAAAACGCAAGTAGCTAGGTATTAATAGTGTAGGTGTAACAGGTGTTTTGAGTACCTACAACGTAGAAATGGCAATAAGGAAATGGCACAATGACGCATTCCATAATTTCCTCCTTTAAAGGGTAGTGAACTGATTTCTTTTCGAATTCGACACGTTTAATGGCTCTCGGTTGTACATACAGTTTGCTCGTAAATTACAAGCAGGTATATAGTGAGTAGGCTTCGATTGCAAAGAGCGAGTTTCAAAAATTTTGTCGTGCACTTTATATCTAATCGCGCTTCATCTGGAAAACGGCTAAACGCAATTTGGTGATAGGCACCCGAAAAGTTTCAAAATTAGGATGTTGTCATAGAAGGGCGGAACTAACGATTTCGGTTTTTGGATAAGATTTTCAAGGGTGTACTACCAAAAATTCTGATCTCGACTAAATTTCGTATCTGGACTACAAAAACGCGACTTTGAATACCACTAACAGAATCCATCTAGCTACGTTTGTTTCTGAGATACAGGGTGAAAACGAAAAATTTGAGTTTTTTGGACGTTAACATATCTTACTACCTATATAAGATAGAAAAAGGCGAAAACTACATATTTTAGGTATTTTTACGTCGGATCCAGTGGCGTAGTCAAACAAATTTTGGACCACCTTTTCATAGATTTGACCCAAAGTTTGTGTTTTTTTAATGCAACACCCTGTATATTTTAACGTCAATTTTGTGCATTCTTTTTCCTGATTACATTGACCTATATCTTTTTATATACCTAGGTAATATTTTTGTGACCGTCGGCCATTTTTATTGATTGGTATCCGCTGCCTTAGTTACCATGGATACAATAAACAAAACAAAATCCCTGGTTTGTTACCTAAAAACGGTAAAAAATAAGAGTTCTAGTTTTTGGTTCATAGCTAAAAGAAAAAAAAATATAGGTTATGATCCATCACTGTAATCAACAAAAACAATGCAAAAAATTGATGTTAAGATATACAGGGTGTTTCGTTTAAAAAATACCACCTTTGGGTCAAATCTCAGAGAAAGTAGTCGAACTACGCCACTGGATTCTACGTAAAAATATAGCCGCCACGGGGAAAGAACGTTTCGGGTTCCCCACGTGATGTCACATACCAGTGGCGGCGTAAATTACAGAAAAAACGAAGGTAATTGTACTTATGTTATTTTTTAAAGTTATAGTACACATTTTAAATTTCTAAG